GGGCAGGTATAAACAGTTCCCTGTTGCCTTCGGTTTCAGCCATTGGAGAAGCTGCATCAGAGAAGGGATTTCTCTAAAAATAAAATAAGAGGCCGGGTGCCGTGGCTCATGCCTGTAATTCCAGCACTTTGGGAAGCCAAGGTGGGTGGATCACTTGAGGTCAGGAGTTCAAGACCAGTCTGGCCAACATGGTGAAACCCTGTCTCTACTAAAAATATAAAAATTAGCCAGGCGTGGTGGCGGGTGCCTGTAATCCCAGCTACTCGGGAGGCTGAGGCAGGAGAATCACTTGAATCTGGGTGCAGAGGTTGCAGTGAGCAGAGATGGCGCCACTGCACTCCAGCCTGGGCGTCTCAAAAAAAAAAGAAAAAGAAAAAAATAAACAAATAAAAATAAGGAAAAAAAAACTGTTCCCAGTTCTTTCGGATTTAGGGGGCGAGGGTGGTCCCTGAATCTCCTGTCTGCCCCTTTGTCTCCTGTAGGTTGCCAGTCCCAGCCCATACCCCCAAGCTCATTCTCACCCCTCCCCCAGTTTGTTTCTGTAGAAATTAACAGAAAGAGGCCGGGCGCGGTGGCTCAAGCCTGTAATCCCAGCACTTTGGGAGGCCGAGGCGGGTGGATCACGAGGTCAGGAGATCGAGACCATCCTGGCTAACATGGTGAAACCCCGTCTCTACTAAAAATACAAAAAACTAGCCGGGCGTGGTGGCGGGCGCCTGTAGTCCCAGCTACTCGGAGGCTGAGGCAGGAGAATGGCGTGAACCTGGGAGGCGGAGCTTGCAGTGAGCCGAGATCGCGCCACCGCACTCCAGCCTGGGCGACACAGCGCGACTCCGTCTCAAAAAAAAAAAAGAAATTAACAGAAAGATACGATTCAGGTTTGCTCCCCCGTGTTCTGACCTTGCCCTGGAATTAATTATCTGCTCTTTGCTACATTAGGGTGATTTTCTCCAAGTTTAGCCTTGTTGAGGAAGGAGCTTCTCTCTAGAAATCCAGCCTTGGGGAAGAAAGGGAGGAGACTGAGGACTTTTCCCTGTCACTGGTAACAAATGCTGGAGCCAGGCAGAGCGTGGAGCTGGGGTGAGACAATGGGGAGGGGTGATGACTGTGGAAACCCCAGCACTCAGGCCCATCTGGAGGGAGCAGCCTCGGCCTTTGCTGCCTGGGGAGACTCAGGCCCATCATTGCCAAAGCTGCTGACTTAAGAGAAGCTGTAGATTCAGAGCTAATTCCTTGATTTTTTAAAACTACATTTATGTATTTTTTATTTTTGAATAGTTTATATTTACAGAAAAGTTGCAAAGACTGTTCAGAGAGTTGCCATCTTAACCCTAAATTTTTAAAAATACGTTTAATTTTTTAATGGAGATGGTGCCTCGCTATGTTGTCCAGGCTGGTCTTGCGTTCCTGGCCCCCACTGTTAACATCTCACGTCACCATGGTACATTTGTCAGTACTAAGGGGCCAGGCACAATGGCTGACGCCTGCAAACCCAACACTTTGGATTGAGGCAGGAGGATAGCTTGAGGCCAGGTGTTCAAGACCAGCCTGGACAACACAGTGAAACCCTGTCTCTACAAAAGATAAAAAATTAGCTGGGCATGGTGGTGGACAGCTGTAGTCCCAGCTATTCAAGAGACTGAGGCTGGAGAATTGTTTGAGCCCAGGAGGTCGAGGCTGCAACAAGCCATGATTGCGCCACTGCACTCCAGCCTGAGTGACAAAGCAAGACCCTATAAAACAAACAAACAAACAAAAAGAAACACCCCCCCCCAAAAAAAAAAAAAAACAAATGAAGAAGCCAGCATTGGTATATTGCTATGCACTGAACTCCACAGTTTGTTTTGATGTCACCAGTTTCCCATGAGTGTCCTCTTTCTGTTCCAGGATCCAGTCTAAGGTGCCACATGGCATGAGATTGTCACATCTCCTTAGTCTTTGCCGGCCTATGACAGTTTCAGTCTTACCTCGCTTTTCATCACTTGTGCAGTTTCGAGGCATGCTGGTCAGGTGTTTCACAGAAGGTCTCTCGATTTTTGTGACGTTTTTCATGTGGTTAGATTGGAGATAGGAATTTGTGGAACGATCACCACAGAGGAGGAGGAGTCTTATCACATCCCATCAGAGGGTATCGGATGCCCACGTGGCATCGTGGATGTGAACATGCGTAAGGTGGTGCCTGCGGCTTTCTCCAGTGGAATTTGCCATTTCCCACAATAGGCTTGTGCACATTTACTTTGTACTTTGAGCTATGATCTAATGCGATGTTAATTTTTTGTTGCTCAGTTTGTCCCAGCTTTGGCCATTTCATTCTGCAGGTTGGCTTCTGTGTCTCTTGGGTAAGCCCCATCTCATCTTTTATTTTGTGGAATACTTTCTTGCTTTCTGGGCTACAAGATGCTCCAGGCTCAGCTCAGTCCTAGAATCAGCCATTTCTCATGGGAGTCCCACTTGAATTTTTGTTTGTTTTAGAGACAGGGTCTTGCACTGTCGCCCAGGCTGGAGTGCAGTGGCGCCACCTTGGCTCACTGCAACCTCCATTTCCTGGGTTCAAGCGATTCTCCTGCCTCAGCCTCCCGAGTAGCTGGGACTACAGGCACGCGCCATCACACCCAGCTAACTTTTGTATTTTCAGTAGAGACAGGGTTTCTCCATTTTGGCTATGGCTAGTCTTGAACTCCTCACCTCAGGTGATCTGCCCGCCTTGGCCTCCCAGACTGCTGGGATTACAGGTGTAAGCCACTGTGTCCAGCCTGCAAAATCTTTTTTTTTCAAAATATGAGATGAGGAAACCAAGGCCCAGGGAGGATAGGGGACCAGCCTCATGTCATAGTGGAGAACAGTGGGCCAGGGGCTTAGGCCGGGCAGCCTGATACCACATGCCACCCTCTCAGGGCTTATCTTTGACCTTGTGGGATCAGGGCATGAAAAAAAAGTATCCCTGAGGATACTAGACACCTAGAGCTAGGTGCCCAGAGAGATGGCGGTGCTGTGACCAGAGGAGGGCTAGGCGTGGGGAGAGGCGTGGAGGAGTTTGGTTTTAGACATACAGAGCAATGGGGCGAAGGTCGCAGGAAACCCAGGGCAAGGGGGAAATGTTGTCTGAACAGTGGTGGGAGCAGATTTTCATGATAACCACGAGAAGTCTGATGTACTTAGGCAGAAAGAGGAGGAAAAACAGTTACAGTTTTCAAAAAAAAATTTTTTAAATAAAAATTTGGGGCCAGAAGTGGTGACTCACCCCTATAATCCCAGCTCTTTGGGAGACCGAGGCAAGTGGATCACTTGAGGTCAGAAGTTCAAGACCAACCTGGCCAACGTGGTGAAACCCCGTCTCTACTAAAATACAAAAACTACCCGGGCATGGTGGTGCACACCTGTGGTCCCAGCTACTCAGGAGGCTGAGGCAGGAGAATCGCTTGAACCTGGGAGGCAGAGGTTACAGTGAGCTGAGATTGCACCACTTCACACCATTCTGGGCAACAGAGCCAGACTCAGTCTCAAAAAACAAACAAACTAAAGCCACTAGGCCTAGCCCAAAATCTAGGGGAGGAGATTACCTAAGCATGAGGATACCGGGAGGGTGAGACCCCGGGGAGCACGTCAGAAGCCACCTCCACACTCCACGCCAGCACTGTGCTAAACAGCTCATCCTCAACATCCCAGCGAAAGGACCATCATCATCGCACCACTGTCCCAGTGAGCAAAGGAGGGCTCAGAGAGGTGCAGTGAGTTGCCTAAGGTCACAGAGCTCATGGTGGGTAGAGCTAAATTTAAACACTAGCCTGAATCCTTAGTCCAGCTCCTGCTGTGCCCACTGGTGTTTCTGTAACAGTGGTCCCCAGATTCCTATTCCAACGTTGCCTCAGAGTGTTGGCTGAAAATGCAGATTCTCAAACTAGGAGAGGCTGGGAATCAGAATCAGTGTTTGAAAGGCTTCCCCAAGGAGATTCAGTTGCTCCCCAGAATTTTTTTTTTTTTTTTTTTTTGAGATGGAGTGTCGTTCCGTCACCTAGGCTGGAGTGCAATGGCTCGATCTTGGCTCACTGCAACCTCTGCCTCCAGGGTTCAAGCAATTCTCCTGCCTCAGCCTCCCGAGTAGCTGAGATTAGAGGTGTGTGCTCTATGCCTGGCTAATTTTTGTATTTTTAGTAGAGACAGGGTTTCACCATGTTGGCCAGGCTGGTCTTGAACTCCTGACCTCAGGTGATCCACCTACCTCAGCCTCCCAAAGTTCTGGGATTACAGGCGTGAGCCACCACAGCCAGCCGCACCCCAGAATTTGAGAGCCATGAATATATGGCCTTTTCTTTGCACAGCGAGGATGTGATAACATGAAAATGGAATCTCTCATTCTCTCTCTCACACACAGAAGAGTTAGGCTTGGTCCTTGGGTTCTGAAGGAAAAAGGAACCATCGGCATCTGATTTCAGTGATCAAGGGAAAGATATGTGGCTTCACACAGTTCACTTCTGGAACCCTTGCAAGCAGAAGAAAATGCTAACTCAAGGAGATGGTGCAAGGAAGTACTTAGGACAAGCCTGCGTGTCGGAAGCATCTGATACATGAGAGTTGTGTTCATTAACATTATTAATGAATATTAATCGTAATGATCAACTTGTTAATATTCCAGTGCAATGAAAACTGGACTGACTTTGACTTTGGTTTAGAGAAGAGATTCTGATTCTTTCCATTTGCTCCAGTTCAGTGGTTTAGAAAACGAAGATATTTAGTTTGGGACTGGTGTTGCTGGGTGGTTGGCGGGGAAGTGATTAATTTGTGGTTCAGTAAATAATACCTGGGTAGGTCTGGGTCCGCAGAGGCGATGAGGTTGGTCCTCCCCTGGGGCTCTGGGTTGTTCTTGGGCCTGTCTGGCGCAGGATGCCACCTGGCACCTCAGCCATCGGTGGGGTCTGCGTAGACCCTGGCCGACCTCTGAGGCAGGCAGGAGGACACAGTGATGGGGCAGAAGGCCTGATGAGCTGTTTTGTTCCTTGCAGATCAGGAGTGATACGTCACAGATCCTGGAGGAAAACATCCCAGTCCTTAAGGCCAAACTGACAGAAATGCGTGGTGTCTACGCCAAAGTGGACCGGCTAGAGGTGCGTCTAGGCAAACAAAGGTTCTGAGGCTGTGAACCTGATCTGGCTTTTCCCTTTTCCTGGAAGACGCCGATCTGGCCTCGAACATGCAGGCATTATGCCCAATGCAGGGGGTTGGTGGTGGCAGTTGGGGGGTCTGCACTCAAGTGATATTTTGAAAAAAAACCACAAGTAAGAATTTGTTTCCAGGCCAGGTGCAGTGGCTCATGCCTGTAATCCCAACATTTTGGGAAGCCAGTGTGGAAGGATCGCTTGAGCCCAGGAGTTTGAGACCAGCAACGTGGCGAAACCCCATCTCTACCAAAAATACAGAACCAGTCAGGTGTGGTGGTGCCTGCCTCTAGTCCCAGCTACTTGGGAGGCTGAGGTAGGAGGATGGCTTGAGCCCAGGAGGTCGTGGCTACCGTGAGCCTTGATTGTGCCACTGTACTCCAGGCTGGGCGATAGAGCAAGATTCTGTCTCAAAAAGAAAAAAAAGAATTTGTTTCCAACATTTAAAATCAGGGTACTTTATATAAAAATCTGCATTTTAAGCTTTTGAAAATTCAGAAACTTTGATAACCCTGGGCCCACATTTCCTTAAATACTTTAATCTGTTTATGTTTCAAGGCATAAATATATAATGTATACACATCTAAGTATGTAATTTAGTGAATTTTTACATATATCGACATCATGTGATGATGACCCAAATTGAGAGCGAGAACATTTCCAGGCCCTGGGTTGCATTCTTGCACTGTTCTTGCAAGAATGGATGGAGGCTGGGCGTGGTGGCTCACGCCTGTAATCCTAGCACTTTGGGAGGCTGAGGCGGGTGAATCAATGGAGGCCAAGAGTTTGAAACCACCCTGGCCAACCTGGTGAAACCCTGTCTCTACTAAAAGTATGAAAATCAACTGCGTGTGGTAGCACACACTGAGGAGGCTGAGGCACAAGAATCACTTGAACCTGGGAGGCAGAGGTTGCAGTGAGCCAAGATCGCACCACTGCACTCCAGCCTGGGCAACAGAGCAAGACTGTCTGAAAAAAAAAAAAAATGGATGGAGCTGGTGGCTGCTGCTCCTCAGAAGGGCATGGGCTCTCCAGTTTTCCACAGTCCTCACCATGCCCTCTTGCCTTACCACTGACGTAGCTCACCCATCTTTTACTTGCCTGGCTAAGATGCATGGCATCTCATTTCCTCCTTGCTGCACTGCAGAGTCAGTCCTCTCACTGCCCCCATCTCCTGGAAGAGGAGCATAAGCTTCGCAAGGTCAGCCACTTCTCTGGGGTCACACTACTAGTTACATCAAGCCAGGACTCCAGCTCATATGTGCCGGTCCAGATGCTCTTCATCCACCTGGGGCCCTAGGCTTGGGACCCTGGCTCCGTGCACAGCAGAGGATTGGGAGGCTGAGAGGACCTTGCGGCTGTGTCATAGTCACCTGGCCAGAGGGAATGTGAGCCCCTCCCAAGCTGCAGAGGGAGGGAGCAGGCGTGGCTGTCAGCACCGAGTTAGCAGAGAATTAACATTCTTGTCAGCAGAGAATGAAGCAGGAATATAATTAAAACTTTGCCCTTGGAATAGCTGATTCATTTGAATTTTATTCCACACGTTTGAAAGAGGAAAGAAAATGTGAAGACTTGCAGCTTGGTTCTCGCCTGGCCTGGGCCAGCCCAGCTATCAGGACCGTTCCTTTCTGAGCATTCAGTCCATTGGCGTTGACTGAGGGCCAGCCAGGAGAGACCCTCAGCAGGGTATTACCACATCAGCCTCCTATCGCTGCTGGGAGAAATTACCATGAACTTAGTGGCTTAAAACAACACACAGGAGCCTCTCTGAGCCCACCCTGGCTCAGGAGGCTGCCCAATTTTAAAAAAAGAAGAAGAAAAGAAAACAACATCTTCTTTTTTTTTTTTTTTTTTTTTGAGACAGAGTCTCGCTCTGTAGCCCCAGCTGGAGTGCAGTGGCCTGATCTTGGCTCTCTGCAACCTCTACCTCCTGGGTTCGAGTGATTCTCCTGCCTCAGCCTCCCAAGTAACTGGGATTACAGGCGCCTGCCACCACTTCCGGCTAATTTTTGTTTTTTTAGTAGAGACAAGGTTTTGCCATGTTGGCTAGGCTGCTCTTGAACTCCCGACCTCAAAGGATCTGCCCGCCTCAGCCTCCCAAAGTGCTGGGATTACAGGCATGAGCCACTGCACTCGTCCACAACACACATTTATTATCTTATAGTTCTGGAAGTCAGAAGCCCAAAATGTGCCTTATGGGGCTAAAGTCAAGGTGGTGGCAGGTTGGCCCCTTCCGGAGGCTCTGGGGAGAATCTTTGCCTTTCCTTGCCTTTTTTCCTGCCTTTTCCAGATTCTAGCACTGCCTGCATTCCTCAGCTCGTGGCCCCTGCCTCCCGCTTCAAAGCCCATGGAGTGACATCTTCCTGTCTCTCTGTTGCTGGCCCTCCTGCCTCCCTCTTGTAAGGACCCTTGAGATTACGTTGGGCCTACCTGGATGATCCACAGTGACCTCCTATTCCAAGACCCTTAACTTAATCACACCTGCAGGATCCCTTTTGCCAAGGAAGGTGACATAGTCAAAGGTTCTGGGACTAGGACATGGACATCTTTGGGAGCCATTGTTCTGCTGCTCACACTTGGCCAGGATTTGCTTTCATTAGGCAAGTGCTGTGAAAGGAAGCAGCGACTGAGGCATGGGATCTACAGGACCCTGGAGAAGGAGTGGAAGGAACTGTGTTAGGTGGGTGGAGGAACTGTGGGAACTGTGTCAGGTGGGTGCAGCTCAGGCAGGGGCTCCAGGCGGGATCTTGGCTCTGAGCAGGGAGGAGATTTGGATGTTGGAAGGATCTTGGGAGGCCAAGTATTGGGGGCAAAGGGGAATCAGACCCCAGTGGGGCCAAAGAAACTGGCGGCAGCAGCCAGGTTGTCCAACCCTTGCCATCCGAGGTCAGGACTTTGGCCTTTATCCTGAGGAGGAGGAAGCCGCTGAAGAGTCCGGACAGCCTAGTGGTTAGGAACGCACACCCCAGAGCAGGGCTTCTCAGCCCCAGTGCTGCTGCCCTGGAAAATTCTCTGTTGTGGGGCTGTTCTGGGTATTGTAAGTTGCTTAGCAGCCTCTCTGGCCTCCACTCCCAAGATACTATTAGCATTCCTCCAACCCCACTCCCCAGCCTGACAACCAAACATGTGGCCAAATGTCCCCGGGGGGCAAGGTCCCTGCTGTTTGGAAGCGCTGATCTAGAGCCGCACAGCCGGGATTCACGTCCTAGTGCTGCTGTCTCCTAGCGTGTGACCCCCAGAAAATTCCCAGCCTCATTTCCCCATAAAGTGGGAGTGACGGTGAGGTTCTTGCACCCAAATCCTTGTTGTATTCAACAAACATTTGCTGCACGGTGGGCTTCTCAGAGATGGGTGCTGGGCGTACGATCCAGGGGAAATGTCTGGTTCCCTGTGGGTGGTCCTGGAGGAGCATTAGACAGGGAAGCAGGCCGGGTGGGGCGGGTCGGCCTCAAGAGCACACACCAAGGGGTCCTGGCCAGAGCTGGAACAGAGGAGGCTTCCCAAGTATGTGACCTGGACCCTAAGGCCTGAGATTGGGTGCAGAAAACCTGGGGAGGGAGCAGCTTGTGCAAAGAAAGGTCCAGGGGCGGGAAAAGGCAGCTTCTCAGACACCTGGGGCCCGGGAGGAGCTCAAGGTCAGGGATGAGACTGGAGTGAGGGATGTAGCCCACAGGGTAGGGCCAAGGCCTGGAGTTTGGACCCTGTCCTTAGAATGACAGGACCCATCAGAGGGATTGCAGGTGCTGTAACCCCCACTCCCCACCAACAGGGAAGTCGACATTGATTATCCTTTTTTTCTTTCATTCATTCATTCATTCATTCATTCATTCATTCATTCATTCATTGTAGAGACCGAGGCTCACTAAATTGCTGCCCAGGCTGGTCTCGAACTTCTTCTTTTTTTTTTTGAGACGGAGTCTCGCTCTGTTGCCCAGGCTGGAGTGCAGTGGTGGGATCTTGGCTCACTGCAACCTCTGCCTCCCGGATTTGAGTGATTCTTCTGCCTTAGTCTCCTGAGTAGCTGGGATTACAGGAATGCCCACCACACCTAATTTTTGTATTTTTAGTAGAGATGGGGTTTCACCATGTTGACCAAGCTAGTCTCGAACTCCTGACCTCAAGTGATCTACCCACCTTGGCCTCCCAAAGTGCTGGGATTACAGGCATGAGCCACCATGCCCAGCCGATTATTCTTAAAAGTATACCATTTGGAGGTGTGGGGTATGTTTACCAGGTGATACAACAATAAGCACTATGTCATTCCAGAACATTTTCCCAAAAGGTACCTCATGCCTACTGGCAACCATTCCCCAGCCCCCGACTCTGGCAACCACTCTTCTACTTTCTGTCTCTGGATTTGCCTATGCTGGACATTTCATGCTAATGGAATCATACCATATATGGCCTTTTGGGCTTGGCTACTTTCACTTGCCATAAAGGTTTCAGGGTTCATCTATGTTGTAGCATGTGCCAGGACCTCATTCCTTCTGTGGTTGAATCATCTTTTGGTAGATGGCTGGACCGTACTTCATTTGTCCATGCACTAGCTGGTGCACAGTTGGGTGCTTTCCACTTTACGGCTGTCGTGAATAATGCTGCTATGAACGTTTGCGTACAAGTTTTTGCGTGACATATGTTTTCATTTCTTTTGGGTAGATACCTAGGAGTGGAATTATTGGCAGGTCTTTTTAGGAGAGCTATGGAAACTCATTTTAGGAAGTTTCAAACAATTTTCCGAAGTGACTACAACATTTTGAACTCCACTCGTTTTAGGAAGTTTCAAACAATTTTCCAAAGTGACTACACCATTTTGAACTTCCACCCACGCAACTACTACAATTTTTTTTTTTTTTTTTGAGACGGAGTCTCTCTGTGTCGCCAGGCTGGAGTGCAGTGGTGCAATCTCAGCTCACTGCAACCTCTGCCTCCCGGGTTCAAGCAATTCTTCTGCCTCAGCCTCCCAAGTAGCTGGGACTACAGGCGCCCGCCACTACGCCCAGCTAATTTTTTGTATTTTTAGTAGGGACGCGGTTTCACCATGTTGGATGGTCTCGATCTCCTGACCTTGTGATCCGCCCGCCTCAGCCTCCTAAAGTGCTGGTATTACAGTCATGAGCCACCGCGCCTGGCCTACTATAAGATTTAGATGGAGATTGCAAACTCAGATGCCAACAGGAGCCAGAACTGCTGAGGGACCAGGTGTTAGAAGACCAACCCCAAGCTCTCCCCATTCCTTTCTGGGAACAGCTGAGAAGCAACTATCACCACCGTGGGGCATGAATCTCCCGGCTGTCACAGACCACGCTCTGCCCTAGAGTCTCACCAACATTGAGGCTGAGTGGCACTCACCTCCTGTCAACACCCCTGCACATCTGCTTTCTTTAGAGTAGAGAGAGATTTCTCTGTAACTGATGCTCCGTTAAAAGGGGGGAGTCCTAAGGGAGGTTCCAAGAGGGCTGTGGATTTTTAAGGTCAAGTGGGAGATGATGTATTTCTTTTCCTTTTTTTTTTTTTGGAGACAGAGTCTCGCTCTGTCACCCAAGCTGGAGTGCAATGGCACGATCTCAGCTCACTGCAACCTCTGCCTCCCGGGTTCAAGTGATTTTCCTGCCTCAGCCTCCCAAGTAGCTGAGACTACAGGCGTATGCCACCACGCACAGCTAATTTTTGTAGTTTTAGTAGAGATGGGGTTTCACCATGTTGGTCAGGCTGGTCCCGAACTCCTGACCTCATGATCTGCCCGCCTCAGCCTCCCAAAGTGCTGGGATTACAGGCGTGAACCATCGTGCCCGGCTGATGATGTATTTCCTATTAGCTCAAGTGTGTGCCATCAAACAATAAAACTGAGGGACCTGCTGAGAACCTGACATTGTATGGGGCAGGTGGACTCCAGAACCAGAGAGCTGGGGCTCTGATCTGCCCCTTTGGAGTCAGTGGCAAGGAAGACCGACCCCCATCTCCTGGAAGGGAATGTGCCGTCCACCTCTTAGAGTCATTGTGAGGATTAAACGAGACCAGCACCTGCCATCTTGCAGATGCTCCGCAAGGACAAACTATTATGGTGGTTGTAGTGGTCCACAAGGCTGAGAGAGGGAGAATCTGTCCAGGATGGAACAATGACTGCTCTGCCCTGCCAGGGGGAGGTCCTGGGGTAACTAGAGTGTCAGTGGCTTCCACAGACTGCAAGTCCACCCTGCCCTCAGAATCAGTGTGACCTGCCAGGTGAGAGCTTAGAAACCACGAGGTGACCTCTTAGGCCAGAACTCGACCCTTTATCAGTTGTATTAATAAAAACTAACTTTGTTTTTTTTGAGACAAGTTCTCGCTCTGTCATCCAGGCTGGAGTGCAGTGGTGCAGTCACGCTTCCTGGCCTCAACTGATCCTCCCACCTCAGCCTCCCGAATAGCTTGGGACTACAGGCGTGCACCACCACACCCAGCTAATTTTTTTTTTTTTTGAGACGGAGTCTTGCTCAGTCGCCCAGGCTGGAGTGCAGTGGCACAGTCTCGGCTCACTGCAAGCTCTGCCTCCCAGGTTCACGACATTCTCCTGCCTCATTCTCCCGAGTAGCTTGGATTACAGGCACCTGCCACCGTGCCCGGCTAATTTTTTGTACTTTTTTAGTAGAGACGGAGTTTCACCGTGGTCTCGATCTCCTGACCTTGTGATCCGCCCGCCTCAGCCTCCCAAAGTGCTGGGATTACAGGCGTGAGCCACTGCGCCCTGCCACAATTTTTTGTATTTTCTGTAGAGATGGAGTTTTGCCATGTTGCTCAGGCTCATCTTGAACTCCTGGGTCAAGCAGTCTGCCCACTTTGGCCTCTCAAAGTGCCAAGATTACAGGCATGAGTCACTTTGCCCAGCCAACAAAAACTAATATTTTTGAGTACCTACTACAGGCGAGGCACTATGAGTGCTTTACACATAAGAACTCACTTCAACTCCACAGCAACCCCAGGAGCAAGGTCCTGCTATTAGTCTCATTTTACAGAAAAAGCCGCTGAGGCACAGAGATGAGAAGTGACTCTCCTGAGTTCACACAGGTGGGAAGTGGTAGAACTGGGGTTGCAAAGTTTATGTTCCCCCCTGCTGGATGTCAACACACCTGTCTGTACAGGAATCATGCTCTGCAGCTGGGAACTCTTTGGTGGAAATGTTCAAATTCTCCAGGCATAGTGGCTCGGCCTGTAATCCCAGCACTTTGGGAGGCCGAAGTGGGAGGATCACTTGAGCCTAGGAGTTCGAGATCAGCCTGGGCAACATGGCAAGACCCCTGTGTCCAGGGGGGACGAAAGTGTTCAAATTCCTCAATACTTGCCAATATATTTTTAAACAATGAGGCTTTCCTCCTTCCCTCCCTCTCAACTGATTATAAAAGTAGCGTGTCTTTATTGAAGAGGAAAATATGCAGAAATCAATTGTGCTCCCTGCACCCAGCCCTCAGGGTGGCTAAGATTAGCGGTGAGCCCTCTCGCTCACCTGCAGCCACCACAGCCTGGCTGTGTGGGTGGACATGCGCGTCTCCTCTCCCCGGAGTCGGGGCTGCCCTGGCCCAGGTTTCCGCCTCTCTGGCTGTGGCTTGGCCGGGCTGGCCTCACTGGCAGGCATTTTGGAGACAGTTCAGACGTCGCGAGCGCACATTCCTCAGCTTCGCCTCACACTCTCCACCAGATTGGTATTAACGCAGGGAGCATAAAATTGGAATCGGCTGGAGGAAGGGGAGTCGGGACTTTCTTCTGAGTTTTACAACCATATGTGCGGGCTGAGCCAGGCCTCTGAGGTTGGAGCCCTTGTCAGATGCTTCCTGGCCCATTTCCCACCCACCCACCTCTATACACACACACACATACATGCACACATCTGCACATACACACACACACACACACGACGTGGCTGATTCAGCCTTTCAGCCCTGCTGCAGCCAGAGCCCCAGGGCGGCAGCAGCACAAGAGAAGCCTCCATCTTGGGTTCACTCAATGTCATTTTGCTAAGGATAGACTCACTCATTCACTCATTCATTCATGCACGTGTGCATTTATGCATCCACCATCCATATGGGCCCTGTCTCCTGGACCAGGCTCTGGTCTTGGCCTGTGAGCAGTGCTGACTCAGCAGCTTCTCTTTTAGAACCCACATCCTAAAGGCGTGGACCGTGAATAGATAAGAATTTCAGAGGGCAATGAGGGCTGTGAAGACCAGGAATCTGGGTGGCTCTAGAGTGCCTGCCGGGGCTGTATGACATCAGGTGCTCAGGGACAGTTAGATGGAAGCCTGAAAGACAGACTGAGTGCGGTGGCTCACGCCTGTAATCCCAGCACTTTGGGAGGCTGAGTCAGGCAGAACACCTGGGGTCAGGAGTTCGAGACCAGCCTGGCCAACATGGTGAAACGCCATCTTTATTAAAAATACAACATAAGACGGGGTGCAGTGGCTCACGCCTGGGAGGCTGAGTCAGGCAGAACACCTGGGGTCAGGAGTTCGAGACCAGCCTGGCCAACATGGTGAAACGCCATCTTTATTAAAAATACAACATAAGACGGGGTGCAGTGGCTCACGCCTGTAATCCCAGAACTTTGGGAGGCCGAGGTGGGCGAATCACCTGAGATCTGGAGTTTGAGATCAGCCTGACCAACATGGAGAAACCCTGTCTCTACTAAAAATACAAAATTAGCTGGACATGGTGGTGCTCACCTGTAATCCCAGCTACTTGGGAGGCTGAGGCAGGAGAATTGCTTGAATCTGGAGGCAGAGGTTGCAGCGAGCCAAGATCATGCTATTGCACTCCAGCCTGGGCGACAGGCTGCTAAAAATATAAAAAGTAGCTGGGCATGGTGGCAGGTGCCTGTAATCCCAACTACTTGGGAGACTGAGACAGGAGAATCACTTGAACCTGGAAGGTGGAGGTTGCAGTGAGCTGAGATCACGCCATTGCACTCCAGCCTGGGTGACAAGAGTGAAACTCCAGCTCAAAAAAATAAATTAAATTAAAATAAACAACAAAAAAAAAGAATTCTGGCTGAGCATGGTACCTTATGCCTGTAATCTCAATACTTTGGGAAGCTGAAGCCAGGGAGGGTCACTTGAGGCCAGGAATTTAAGACCAGCCTAGGCAATGTGGTAAAACCGTATCTCTACAAAAAAATTGAAAAAGTAGCCAGGCATCTCAAACTCCAGATCTCAAGGCTGGTCTTGAACTCCTGACCTCAGGTGATCTACCCACCTTAGCCTCCCAAAGTGCTGAGATTACAGGTGTGAGCCCCTGTGTCCTTTATTCTTGAAACTGGCAGCTCTGCACTTGAGACCTGGAGCTGAGTGGTTCCTGTGGGCCTGGACTTAGCTTTCTGGTTGACCCTGCTTCCCATTAGGCCCCCTTTACCTGCTTGTTTCCTGCTAGGCCCTTGGTGGCTTCTGAGTTCGAATATACAGCACATCCACTATTAAAGTGAGCGTTTGTGTGTCCTTAACATAGATGAAAAGTACAAATAAATAAGCATTTGGGCTATTTCTATAAAATCAACTTTGAACAAAAAAGGCTTTGAAATCTGATGAATGTGCCCTGAGACCCTGCCGCCCCCCCGGCCCCCGGCACTTCCTGGCTTCGTGACTTTGAGCAGGTGACCCAGCCTCTCTGAGCCTTGATTTCCCTCCCCTGTAAAATGGAGGCTAAGAACAGCGTCCCTCTGGGGAGAAGGCAAGAGGCCACCAGCGGGAGTTGTGACCGTTGTCAGGGTTTCTGCAGGTGTCCCTCCAGCGAAGCAGGCCCTGCCACTTTGTGGGGAGCCCTGTTGGAGGGAGGCTGGTCGTAGTGATGAAAGGCCTGGAGTCCCCACCGGCCTAGGGAGTGTGGCCAGGAATGGGCTCCAGCCTGCACAAATGTGGCATCATGGCCTCTCCGTGTCTCTCAGGCCTTCGTCAAGATGGTCGGACACCATGTCGCCTTCCTGGAAGCGGACGTGCTTCAGGCTGAGCGGGACCATGGGGCCTTCCCGCAGGCCCTGCGGAGGTGGCTGGGATCCGCAGGGCTCCCCTCCTTCAGGAACGTGAGTATCCTGACCCAAGAAGTGAGGGGAGGGCTGCTCCCCCTTCCCTCCGCAGACCCCAGCATGGGGAGGAGCGCACAGGAAGCCAAGTTCAGGGGGCACATTTCACTTCTGCAGACAGGAAACGGGTACAGGCGGCCAGACACCTCAGCCTTTCTCTGTCCCCTGTGAGCCCCGGGCTGCGATGGTTGGTGTGCTCATCCACCATTTATTGGGCACCTACTGTTTGCTGAGTGCCATCTGAGGTTACTGTGGTGAGCAGAAACAGCTCCCATCCTCCTGCCCATCCTTGCACACTTAGGGACAGTGACCAAGATGACATCCAGAATTCTGGCCAGGTTCCCCTTCCTGAGGCAGGAGTCAGCCTCAAGGAGCAGGGGAAGGAGGATGGGTTTGTGGCCTGCAAAGGCTGTTCTCTTCCTCATTTCTCCTCTGTCGTCCTGGGATCCTCTCCATGGCCCCGCAAGGAAGGAAGGATCATGTGTCCTTTTTGTTTTCTTTTGAAATGGGGTCTCACTCTGTCACCCAGGCTGGAGTGCAGTGGCGTGATCTCAGCTCACTGCAACCTTCGCCTCCTGGGTTCAAGCAATTCTCCTACCTCAGCCTCCCAAGTAGCTGGGATTACAGGTGTGTGCCACCATGCTCAGCTAATTTTTGTAGTTTTAGTAGAGATGGGGTTTCACCATGTTGGCCAGGCTGGTCTTGAAGTCCTGAATTGAAGTAATCCACCTGCCTTGGCCTCCCAAAGTGCTGGGATTACAGGCATGGGCCACCATGCCTGGCTAATCACCCTCATTTTATAGTTGAGAAGATGGAGGCTCAGGGAAGGAGATAAGGGGACTTGTCTGAGGTCAGGTCCTGGAGTGCCTGTTTCTGGTGACTTGCCCTTCACAGGAAAGGTGTCACCTAGTGGGGCCTCTTGTGGCTCCTTGGGCTCTGCCTGCAGGTATCCCCTCTACTGCCCTGTCTCCACTGTTCCTGCCTGTCCACACCTTATCTCTACTTTATCACAACAGCCCAATTAGTGAGTACTTTTTGAGATAGGATCTCACTCTGTCACCCAGGCTGGAATACAGGCGTGATCCTAACTCATCGCAGCCTGGAACTCCTGGGCTCAAGTGATCCTCCCACCTTGGCCTCCCAAGTAGTTGGGGCTGCAGGCATGCACTACCACACCTGGCTAATTTTTTATTTTATTTTTCTTTTCTTTTTTTTTTTTTTTGAGACGGAGTCTCGCTCTGTTGCCCAGGCTGGAGTGCAGTGGCACCATCTCGGCTCACTGCAAGCTCCGCCTCCCGGGTTCACGCCATTCTCCTGCCTCAGCCTCCATACCTGGGACACAGGCGCAACCACACTCGGCTAATTTTTTTTTTTTGATTTTAGTAGAGACGGAGTTCACCGTGTTAGCCAGGATGGTCTCGATCTCCTACCTCGTGGATCCGCCCACCTTCAGCCTCCCAAATGCTGGGATTAACGGGCGTGAGCCACCGCACCCGGCCGGCTTATTTATTTTTATAGAGACAGAGGCTCGCTTTGCTGCCCAGACTGGTCTCCATCTCTTGGACTTCAGTGATCCTCCTGCCTTGACTTCCCAAAGTGCTGAGATTACAGGCATGAGCTACCACGCCTGGCCTTGTTGAGTGCTAACCAGGTTCCAGGCTCTGCGTTAGGCGTTTTATATGCAGTGATTCATTTACCTTTCCCAGCCATCTTGTGTGCTGGGTATTAATAGTATCTCCATTTAACAGGTGAGGAAATGAAAATTCAGAAAGTGTCAGGGTTCTGCCCGTGGGCAGAATTTGGCCCATGTCAACTCATTCTATTTGGCCAGGCGATATATTTAAACAGTGCGACTTGAAATGCTGATAGGGCATGTGCTTTCCCGTCACAGGCTCCTGGCCTCATTGTACCTGCCTGAGGCACGTGCTACTCACCTGCCTGCTTCCAGATGAATGGTTTGCCCAAGCTTGTAACAGCTGGACAGCGGCCTCTCAGATTTCATGGTCTAGGAACTCCTCTTGATCTTTCAGAGCCCAAGTTAAAGACACCTCCTGTGAGAAGCCCTCTGGGATTGCCCCTCTTCAGACAAACTCCATCTCTTTGCTTTCCAAAGACAATGAAGTCATGAGCTGCATCCTTTGTCCTCTCCCTCAACTTACAGTGACCATTCCTGAGTGACTTTTCCCACTGATGGCTTTAAAAGCACATTTGGGGCTGGGCACGGTGACTTATGCCTGTAATACCAGCACTTTGGGAGGCCAAGGCAGGTGGTTCACTTGAGCCCAGGAGTTCGAGACCAGACTGGGCAACATGGCAAAACCCCATTTCTACAAAAAATAGAAAAGTTAGCTGGGCATGGTGGCGCATGCCTGTGGTCTCAGTTACTCGGGAAGCTGAGTGGGTGGATCACTTGAACCTAGCCTGGGAGGTGGAGGTTTCAGTGAGCCGAGATCGCATGACTGCACTCAGCCTAGGTAACAGAGTGAGACCCTGTCTCACAAAAAAAAAGCACATTAGGGACCAGATGTGGTAGCTCATGGCCATAATCCCACCACTTTGGGGGGCCAAGGTGGGAGGATTGCTTGAGTTCAAGATCAGCCTGGGCAACAAAGCAAGACCTCATCTCTACAAGAAATTATCCAAGTGTGATGGCGTGCACCTGTGGCCCTAGCTACTCAGGAGGCTGAGGTAGGAGGATCACTTGAGCCTAGGAGTTTGAGGCTGCAATGAACCTTGATCATGCCACTACACTCTAGCCTGGACAACAGAACAAGACCCTCTCTGAAAATTAAAAAAAAAAATTTTTTTTTTTTTTTTTAAAGACCCATCGGGGCAGAAAGGACCTTGGCTGTCCTTGTCCTGTTAGGACCCAAGTATCATAACAGTAGGTCCTGCCTGTCATTTAATACACTTCTTGCAGTCGGCAGTCATCCCCATGAGGTTGGTGCTAGTGTTCCCATTTACAGAGGCAGAGACTGAGGCTTGGAGATGGAGAATCACCTATCCAGGGTCACTGCTGGGTTTGGAATCCAGGCCTGTGGAGCTCTGAAACTGAGGTCCCCCCACCACCCCTGCTGCAGGGATGTGGCATCCCCCCCGGGGTGTGGCTGGGGCATGCTGGGACCTGCACCCTCTCCTCTCTGCCACACTGGGCCTTGCTAAGCCTTGGAGAGCCCCCTAGACCTACCTGTGGTAACTTGTTCCAGGAAGCGCGTCCTGGCCAGGGGTGGGTGAGTCATTCAGCAACCCCGGTGTGTTGTTCTTGGCCCCACAAGGGCTTTGTCTGGGGGAGGCGGTGCAGCCAAGTGTGCGCATGCGTGTGCAGACCTGAAGGCTCCAGGGCTGTGGCTGCTCTAGGGTGTGAGCTGGAGGGGCCCTTCCAGAATGATGACCATCACCGTTGCTGCTGGGGCCGACTCTGCAGTCGCCTCACACCCCACCCTGTGAAGAGGGTGTGGTCATTGTTCCTGTTTTACGGATGAGGAAACTGAGTCACTGAGGGTTGCCCCACGCAGGAAGTGGTGGAGCTGGGATTTGAACTTGTGATGTCTGGGCCCAGAGTTGGTGCCCTGCACCCCGTTGGCCCATTCTGTGCCCTCCCTGACCCCCAGACCTGCTCTCTGGGAGGTGGGAGTCCTTGTAGGGCACCCAGGCCTTCTCAGTGTCCTCCATCTTGATTCTTTCAAAACTGGGATTCTGTGCCGTCTCTAGTCAGTTCCCCTCAGCGCCTCCTCCCCCAGGGTGGACACCTCCTTTCTGTGACCCTGAACGGCCATCACCCTCAGAGGCTGACATTGCAGCCTCCACCAAGGGCTTGGATCTCCACCAAGCCCTTCTCCCGGGGCCTGTTCCAATGCCCAGTGTAGGCCCGAGGGGCCCAGGCAGCCAGGGGCTCGGAGAGCTTTGGTTTCTCTCGTGGTACCTCCCCCAGGACCCCACTGCTCCCCCGAGGCAGGTGTTTGAGGCCTCCCCCAACCCCGGGTGGCCCGAACAGTGACCATCCAGACACAGCAGCCACTCAGGGTGACCTGGCCGTGTGGCGCCCCGGGCTGTGTGTTCCTCACCCACCCGTGCTGTCTCCAAAGGGTCCATGGAGTGGAGAGGGCTGCGGTGAGACAGGGGTATTGGGTGGCCCCACGGGAATGCTGGCATGGGCTTCTGCCCCTGTGGGGAGCCACACCACTCGCCAGAGGCCCAGCCCCCAGAGAGGGCAGGCTGCCCGCTGCCCGGGTGACTTGGTGCCGGCGTGGACATGGCCTGTGGCCTGGGCTGGCCCGAGGGGTCTGGTGCAGGAAGTGACCTGAGGATACTAGTGTTCCCCTCCGCCAGCTTTCCAACTGGAGCCTGGCCTCTCAGCCCCGCCTTTGAGCTGCCTGAGAAAGAGGCATTTGCTCCACAGACGGAGCCAGCCTGTGCCCCAGGCCCTTGGCGCCCAGCCACCCAAATGTACGCATGGCCGTGCTACGACATATGTATTTCGTGGTACAAAAGTCCACATTTTCATGCTGTTCTGTACAAATGAAAAGTTTTCAGGTATGCTTTTATATTGGTCGTTATAACATTGTGAGGTTTTAATAAAAATTGCACCTCTCTTTCATTGTAGCTAAGTCCCTTCTGTGACATGTCTTAGCTGTGTGACCATGGGCAAGTCTCTTAGCCAGGCACAGTGGCTTCCACCCATGATCCCAGCACTCTGGGAGGCCAGGGCGGGAGGATCACTTGAGCTGGGAACAACATGGGGAGACTGCATCTCTAATTTACTAGATGTTATTAAGATGATATCTTTTGAGATCCTAAAGTTATTTTGAATTGTTCCGAGATGGCTTCTCAGTGACTTCAGAATAAAATCCAAACTCCTTGTCATGGCCTGCAAGAGGCTGCATGATCTGGCCACATTCAGTCTGTCTTTTTTGGGGGGGTCTTTTTTTTTTTAATTGAGACAGTCTCACTCTGTCGCCCGGGCTGGAGTGCAGTGGTGCGATCTCGGCTCACTGCAACCT